GGCCGCAGGACCGGGAGGCAGGGCCAGGATGGCTCGGGCTCCCTGTGGTCTTGGGCAGGTCACCCGCCATCTCTGAGGCTCAGTGTCTTCATGAGAAGCTTCAATTCAATCTCGCAAACAGAATGAGTTGGAAAACAGCAAGCCTGGCTCTCTCTGCTCACAGAAGGGCCCAGGCCGGGAGGGGTGGACCCTCGGGGCAGCTGCAGGTGCCATTTAGTGGGGGAGGAAGGGATGGAGGGGCAGGCGTGAGGCCGGAGGGCAGCCCAGAGGGGCAGCGGAGACCCCTGGGACTCTATGCAGAACCAGGGCTCTGCCCGCCTTGTTGTGCACAGGCTGGCGCTGGGCAGGTGCCTGCCTGTGGGCTCGGACCCCTCCACACACCACGGGAGGGGCTGGTGCAGCCCAGGCCACCAAGATCTGGTCCTTGGCAGTGTGGCATCCGTGACTGGGTGGATTTTCCTCTTTCTTCTGTCCTCCCCCAAACCTTCCCTCTCAAGATAGAAATTGTTTACTGATGTTAACTACAACCCAGATTACCAATTAAATCAGAATTAGCAGCTTTCCCCGTTGAATTACTATAGGACAGTCCCCCTCCCCACTGGGGAGCCGCTCTGACCAGGTCTCATTCCTGATTCTGACTGAATGTTAATGGCTTGCAAATTGGGTCAATGGCCCGGGGACGCAGAAAGGCAGGCTCTGACTTTATCACTGAAATATCCATAAAACGTGGTCTGGGCTGCTCCCTGCCACAGAGGATAAGCCCCAGGCCGAGCTGGCCAGGACTGGCAGCTTGCTTTCCTGAGAATCTTTCCAGAAGGCGTGTTGCTTGGAGGAAAGCTGCAGCCTCTAACGAACAAACACAACTCAACACAACACAACACGACTCAACACAGCACAACACAACACAACTTAACATGACTCAACTCAACACAACACAGCACAGCACAGCACGACACGACACAACAGAACTCAACACAACACAGCACAACACACAATAGCAGGTCCGCAGAGCAGAGTCTTTCAGACCCGTGGCATCCTCACTTTCATCTGCCTGTCGAGTCAAACCCCAGGCTGGGAGGAGGCTCAGGTGGCGGGAGGGGAAGGTGGGTAACTGGCTTCTGAAGGCCTTTTCTGCACTTTTTGAGGAGGGGATGGCATCACCCTTTAGTGGCCTGGGTTTGGGGACTGTCCCTGTGACAGCAGTGTGAGAAGGGGGCACTGGGTTTAGGACAGTGATGGCGAACCTTTTGAGCTCGGCGTGTCAGCATTTTGAAAAACCCTAACTTAACTCTGGTGCCTTGTCACATATAGAAATTTTTTGATATTTGCAACCATAGTAAAACAAAAACTTATATTTTTGATATTTATTTTATATATTTAAATGCCATTTAACAAAGAAAAATCAACCAAAAAATTGAGTTCGCGTGTCACCTCTGACAAGCGTGTCATAGGTTCGCCATCACTGGTTTAGATGAGGTTGAACCTCACCCAGGGAGGTGATCTGTCCTCAAAGGCTGCGGCAGGAAAGGACAGATGTGAGAAAATGTGAGGGAGGGTTCTGGAAAACTTGCTGAGCAGTGAGCAGGGGTGAGTCAGGAATTTGGTGTCTGGCCATGGAGGTCCATCTGGCCGGCTCCCAGCGTGTTACCTGTGCAGACACACATGGCCCCATAAGGGCCTGCTGTGGGCTTAATGCTCTACCATCATAATAAACTGTGAGTGAAGCACCCACATGCACATTTTGTACTGGATTCTGCAGGTAGGGGGCCTGTCCTGAGGTCTGCAGCTATACATGGAAGGGGTGTGTGTGTGTGTGGGGCGGGAGAGGGGGGCTCAGAACAAACATGTAGAAGTTGCTTGCTGTGTATTCATCCATCCTCCCATCCATCCATCCATCCATCCATCATCCATCCATTCATTATCTATCCATCCACTCATCCATCCATCATCCATCCATCAACCCTCCATCATCCATCCATCCTCCATCATCTATCCATCCATCCATCCATCCTCCATCCATCCATCTTCCATCATCCATCCATCCATCCATCATCCATCCTCATTATCTATCAATCCATCCATCACCCATCCATCCATCCATCCATCCATCCATCCTCCATCATCTATCCATCCATCAATCCATCCATCTTCCATCATCCATTCATCCATCCATCTTTATCAATCTATCATCCATCCATCCATCCATCTCTATCAATCCATCATCCATTCATCCATCCATCTTTATCAATCCATCATCCATCCATCCATCCTCCATCCATCCATCTCTATCAATCCATCATCCATTCATCCATCCATCCTCCCTCCATCCTCCATCATCCATCCATCCATCCACCTATCCATCATCACTGGCAATCTAAAATGGTCTTGTTTTCTTGCCTTTTGTTTCTTCCTTATAAAAGAACAGCACAAAAGAGTATATGTAGTTAATTTGAGGGTTCTCATGAGTTTGGATCTGAATACCTGGCCTCCAGGTTGTGTATGGAAGTTTGAAGCAGTCAGGGATGTCATCCATGTGGGTGGGCTAGACTTTCCTTTGACATATTGCCTTGGGACATAAAGCCTTACCAAGTGGCTTCTCTTTACCAGAATACCCTGCACTGTCCCGAGTGTCTCTCTATGTAGAAACGACCTCAGCAGGGAACAGGGCATGGGAGTCCGGGGGGCCGTTTCAGATCAGATATTTGCTTCTCCTTTTAAAGGGAAAGATGCAGCACTTACTGTAATCATCTATCTTGATTTGCTTGTATTCCACTTGGGGCATCTGCCGGTCATTTATAGCCTTCCGTATGTGTTCATTTGTTTCCAGGTCAAATAGTTCTGAAGGAAAGAGAAGAAAGAATACAGTCCGATTCAGCCAACATTTACTGAAGCCACAGGTTTTCCCGTGCACCACACGCGGGGCCTACACCAGTCCTGGAGGTGGTCCGCACAATTACCCGTGCACCACACGCTGAGTCCTACACCAGTCCTGGAGGCGGTCTGTACAATTTCCCATTCACCACACACTGAGTCCTACACCAGTCCTGGAGATGGTCTGTACAATTTCCCATTCACCACACACTGAGTCCTACACCAGTCCTGGAGGCGGTCCGTACAATTTCCTGTGCACCACACACTGAGTCCTACACCAGTCCTGGAGGCGGTCTGTACAATTTCCCATGTACCACACGCTGAGCCTACACCAGTCCTGGAGGTGGTCTGTACAATTTCCCATTCACCACACGCGGGGCCTACACCAGTCCTGGAGGCGGTCTGTACAATTTCCCGTGCACCACACACTGTCCTACACCAGTCCTGGAGGCGGTCTGTACAATTCGATCACAAGCCCAAGACATGGAGACACTCGATATCTTGCTGACGTGACAGCCAGGAGCTTGGGCAGATGGGAGGCCTCCCTGCTGTGTAGCGCTTCTTACACTGTCGGTTTGGGGATGTTTGATGTCAAGCCTGCTGTTTTGGGGAAACCAATGCCATGTGTGTGTTAGGACAAATGGTTCTCCAAATATAGAGGCCCCGTGTCTCAGGAAGGAAAGGAGAACAGGAATGCGATCTTTGTTACATTTTCTAGGATAATTTAAGAGTCATATTTCTTACCTTCATCGTAAGGTTATCGGACTTTGGGGCTCTCAGCATGGATGAGCATGTCAGCTGTCAGCCTCCTTTCCCCTCCCCTGACTGCACAGAGGCTGTCCCCTAGCTTGCAAAGCACACAGATGCCCTCAGTGCCTCTTCTCCAGGTGCAAGAATGCCCCTCATCCACCCACTCCATTCCTCTCCTACTGAAAGGGCCCTATCACCTTATTTTACCATCTGACCTGTAACAAAAACTGTCCAACTTCCTCTTTTCTTTCTCACATCAAGCCTCCATAGGGGCAGTCTGTGGTCCATTATGAAAGGGAATTTATCTTCAAGGGACTCTACATTGGGCTCATCAAATCATCAAGGGTCACAGGTTCGGTTCCCGGTCAAGGGCACATACCTGGGTTGTAGGTTCAATCACTACTCCGGTTGGGGCATTGCAGGAGGCAACCAATCAATGTGTCTCTCTCACATTGATGTTTCTCTCCTATCCATTTCTCTCTCTCTCTAAAAAAAAAAAAAAAAATCAATGAAAAAAAATATCCTCAGGTGAGGATTAACAACAACCAGGAACAAGAGGCACACTGTGGGACTTCAAAGGCACCCAAAGCCTCAACCTCCCAAGCCCGTGGCCCTGACCTCTCCGCCTGTGACGTAAACTCAGGGGTGACAGCAGAGGGCCCTGGGTGTGTGATTGTGTGTCACACTAGAGCAATGGGAACTCGCCAAGATGAGTGGAATTAGCAGGGACACAGGTACAACGTCTTTACCAACAAGAACAGAGATGGCCGTCCCTTTCGGGGCAGTGGCTGGTGGCCGGCTGATGTGGGAGCCACATTTCCAAATGAAAGAGGCCCTAGCCGTTTTGGCTCAGTGGATAGAGCATCGGCCCGTGGCCTGAGGGTCCCAAGTTCAGTTCTGGTCAACAGCATGTTCCTCAGTTGCAGGCTTGATCCCCAGCCCTGGTCAGAGCCCATGTGGGAGGCAACCAATCGGTGTGCCTCTCTCACCTCCATGTCTCTCCCCTCCCTTCCACTCTATCTACAGATCAATGGGAAAATACCCTCCAGTGGGATTAACAGCAACAGAAAGAGGATTGGGTAGAGCCTTTCCCAGTTTTAGACTATGTGCCTCTCTCCACGTGTACATTTGAATTGCTGCCCTCCCCGCCATCTCCGATGCTGACGCTGGAGGAGAAATGCCACTCACGCTGGCCTGGAGTTCATGCGAACACTACTTGCCCCCAGACCACCCATTTGCAGTGCCTGGAGCTGTGGCGCGTGGGGGAGCACCGCGGGCGAATCGTGTGGATACGTCGCCTGCATTTGAGTAGCTTTTCCCAGGCCTGAAACCCCACCCTCCCAGAAAGGCCCGAGGCAGCAGGCTATTACATGTAGTTAAATATTAGACTTCTCGTTTAACGGTTGCCCACACAGCTGGTTTTATCAGCAGAGAGCTGGCTGTCCCACAGGGTAGTGGAGTTAAGCCATGCTATTTGTCCCCATAATTGCATTCACAGAGGCCCGGGCTCAGCGGAGGAAATAAGAAAAGATTGGCATGTCCCCCGAAGGACTCCGCTTTTGACTCGGGGGCCGGGGGCACCTCCAGTCTGCAGCGTACGAATGGCCACTCCTTAATTAGATGTGAGCTGCCTCTGACATTTGGGGGGATTAGCTGTTATCAGATGCAGAGGAACAAAGACTGCTCCCCAGGTGGCTTCCCCGGTTGTGCCCAGCGGTGTCCAGCGGCAGATGCGATGGGGCCCCAGGCTTTTCCAGACCCCGTGGGTTCGGGCACTGAGAAATGATCACGAGGCGGAATTATGGGAAATTAGTGGCTAGAATCTTTCGAAAGCCAATAGCAACTGACTGACAGGGAGAAGGGCAGCCTGTTCTGCTCCCACATTTCAGCAGGAAGACCGAGCAGGACTGTGTGTGCATGTGCCCAATGTGCGTGCCCGTGTGTGTGTACAGTGCCCACAGTGGATGCCCAATGTGCGTGCCCGTGTGTGTGTACAGTGCCCACAGTGGATGCCCAATGTGCGTGCCCGTGTGTGTGTACAGTGCCCACAGTGGATGCCCAATGTGCGTGCCCGTGTGTGTGTACAGTGCCCACAGTGGATGCCCAATGTGCGTGCCCGTGTGTGTGTACAGTGCCCACAGTGGATGCCCAATGTGCGTGCCCGTGTGTGTGTACAGTGCCCACAGTGGATGCCCAATGTGCGTGCCCGTGTGTGTGTACAGTGCCCACAGTGGATGCCCAATGTGCGTGCCCGTGTGTGTGTACAGTGCCCACAGTGGATGCCCAATGTGCGTGCCCGTGTGTGTGTACAGTGCCCACAGTGGATGCCCAATGTGCGTGCCCGTGTGTGTGTACAGTGCCCACAGTGGATGCCCAATGTGCGTGCCCGTGTGTGTGTACAGTGCCCACAGTGGATGCCCAATGTGCGTGCCCGTGTGTGTGTACAGTGCCCACAGTGGATGCCCAATGTGCGTGCCCGTGTGTGTGTACAGTGCCCACAGTGGATGCCCAATGTGCGTGCCCGTGTGTGTGTACAGTGCCCACAGTGGATGCCCAATGTGCGTGCCCGTGTGTGTGTACAGTGCCCACAGTGGATGCCCAATGTGCGTGCCCGTGTGTGTGTACAGTGCCCACAGTGGATGCCCAATGTGCGTGCCCGTGTGTGTGTACAGTGCCCACAGTGGATGCCCAATGTGCGTGCCCGTGTGTGTGTACAGTGCCCACAGTGGATGCCCAATGTGCGTGCCCGTGTGTGTGTACAGTGCCCACAGTGGATGCCCAATGTGCGTGCCCGTGTGTGTGTACAGTGCCCACAGTGGATGCCCAATGTGCGTGCCCGTGTGTGTGTACAGTGCCCACAGTGGATGCCCAATGTGCGTGCCCGTGTGTGTGTACAGTGCCCACAGTGGATGCCCAATGTGCGTGCCCGTGTGTGTGTACAGTGCCCACAGTGGATGCCCAATGTGCGTGCCCGTGTGTGTGTACAGTGCCCACAGTGGATGCCCAATGTGCGTGCCCGTGTGTGTGTACAGTGCCCACAGTGGATGCCCAATGTGCGTGCCCGTGTGTGTGTACAGTGCCCACAGTGGATGCCCAATGTGCGTGCCCGTGTGTGTGTACAGTGCCCACAGTGGATGCCCAATGTGCGTGCCCGTGTGTGTGTACAGTGCCCACAGTGGATGCCCAATGTGCGTGCCCGTGTGTGTGTACAGTGCCCA